AAGGCAGGAAGTGTAACCCCTTCTTGGTTGCCGTCCAGAAATGGTGTGTGTGCAGGCATGAAGGATGTGTTCCCGAACATGTTGTCTATACCAGCACTGAAACAGGAAGACAAAGTAAGTTTGGTTTCATTTGACCTTTAACCTGCTGGAACACAGCAAGTGGTTAGTGTTTGCCATCAGTATTAGACCCCAGGCCAGCCTATACTTCTGTGTATGTTAGTATTAAAATCCCAGAAGCTTAGAACAGACTGTTTCAGAGTCAGAGCAGGGGAAATTCATTATATAAAGTTAGAAGAATACAAAAACAAAAAAACAAACAGCAACATTAAAATGTTATATCAGTTCTGATAAAACGTAATTTCAACTAAGTAGTGTGAGAAAGTCTTAACCCTTTACCTCATATATACGCGAAACAACGCACTTTCGACCCCCCCCCCCCCTTTTTAGGCCTGAAATAGTGAAAAAATGTCCTATTTGGGCCCCCAACACATGTTTTCGTTTGAGAAATGTTGCTAAAAAAAGTGAGCACATATTATTATGCCCCCACTTCAAAGAAGAGGGGGTATATTGCTTTGCATTTGTCAGTCCGTCTGTCCGTAGACCAAATGGTTTCCGAGTGATAACTAAAGAACCCTTAGGCCTAGGAACTTCAAACTTGGTATGGTGATTGGTCATGACCAGTAAATGACCCCTATTGATTTTGGGGTCAAGGGGTCAAAGGTCAAGGTCACATTGACCTTGTAGGTAAAAACGGTTTCCGATCAATAACTAAAGAACGCTTAGGCCTAGGAACTTCAAACTTGGTATGGTGATTGGTCATGACCAGTAGATGACCCCTATTGATTTTGGGGTCAAGGGGTCAAAGGTCAAGGTCACATTGACCTTGTAGGTAAAAACGGTTTCCGATCAATAACTAAAGAACGCTTAGGCCTAGGAACTTCAAACTTGGTGTGGTGATTGGTCATGACCAGTAGATGACCCCTATTGATTTTGGGGTCAAGGGGTCAAAGGTCAAGGTCACATTGACCTTGTAGGTAAAAACGGTTTCCGATCAATAACTAAAGAACGCTTAGGCCTAGGAACTTCAAACTTGGTGTGGTGATTGGTCATGACCAGTAGATGACCCCTATTGATTTTTGGGTCAAGGGGTCAAAGGTCAAGGTCACATTGACCTTGTAGGTAAAAACGGTTTCCGATCAATAACTTAAGAACGCTTAGGCCTAGGAACTTCAAACTTGGTATGGTGATTGGTCCGGACCAGTAGATGACCCTTAATTGATTTTGGGGTCAAGGGGTCAAAGATGAAGGTCACATTGACCTTGTAGGTAAAAACGGTTTCGGATCAATAACTTAAGAACGCTTAGGCCTAGGAACTTCAAACTTGGTATGGTGATTGGTCATGACCAGGAGATGACCCCTATTGATTTTAGGGTCAAGGGTTCAAGGTCAAGGTCACATTGACCTTGTAGGTAAAAATGGTTTCCGATCAATAACTAGAGAACGCATAGGGCTAGGAACTTTAAACTTGGTATGGTGATTGGTCATGACCAGAAGATGACCCCTATTGATTTTGGGGTCAAAGGTCAAGGTCACATTGACCTTGTAAGTAAAAACGGTTTCCGATCAATAACTAAAGAATGCTTAGGTCTAGGAACTTCAAACTTTATATGATGATTGGTCATGACCAGTAGATGACCCCTATTGATTTCTGGGTCAAAAGTCAAGGTCACATTGACCTTGTAAGTAAAAACGGTTTCGATCAATAACTAAAGAACACTTAGGTCTAGGAACTTCAAACTTTATATGATGATTGGTCATGACCAGTAGATGACCCCTATTGATTTTGGGGTCAAGGGGTCAGTGTCAAATTGATCTTGTACTTTAAGATGGTTTCTGACCAATAACTCAACAACTCAAGTTGCCTTGGTTTATATTTTTATATTAAACTAAAAATGCTTTTGGTATACACATTTGAAGGTCTTATGTAATATAACAACTTGGCTGTCATTAATGAGGCCTACATAGGCATACATGTTTTACAAACATATCTTGTTTTTTGTAGAATTTCATAAAATTTTATAAACTTCTAGTCTGAGGATAATATATTTTGAAAATTTTTTTTTAGAATGTAAGACACTACTCTATAGCCAAACTTCATTTACTTTGTGGCACCTGTAAAACTCATTTATGTAAAATAAAGCCTAGAAGAATTTGATTAGCCAAGTTATTCTTCAAAACTTTTAACTAAAACCATGTGTTAAAATGAAGAGCTTCATGCTAGGATCACATAAAGAATGCTCCGTTACAGTGTAGCTGATACTTCCTTATAGCTTGTAGTCTTTGTCACCAGGAAAATGTTTCGTCTGCTGCACATTTGACCAACATTTCTTCTACTTTTTTGCTGCCATTTTTTTGGTATTTTTATCTTGAAATCACTGAACTCACAAAAAAAACAATCCCTGTTTGAAGTTACAAAAAAGACAATGTCAAATTTATAACAGGGCAAGTTATTTTACACAAAAATCTAAGACAAAATGGGTTAAAACAAGAAAGTTCATTAGCCTGGAACATTCTTTCAGAAAGCACTATGTTGAGTAAACCACAAATAATTTGAATTACATACTTTATATATTAAAATAGAGGAAATCAGAAACTGGCATATAATTAGTGACTTGGCTCACTGGGGTTTTCTTTTAATGTATTGATTGTTCAGTTCTTTGATTTCATAACCGCCTTCGTTGTCGAGGGGTTAGAGTCGATGACTTCTAATCCAGTTACCTCTTTGGCGTGGGTTCGATCCCCGGGAGATGTTTTTGGTCGTTTAGCGCGGAGGAAGGTAGTCTAGTACTGGCGTAACTCTCCAGGAACGATGGTTAGGAAACTACCTGCCTATATGACTGAAATACTATTGGAAAAAGGCGTAAAATGAAACAAACAAAAACTTTGATTTCATGACATTGTAAGAAGTAATCAGTTTTGTATTATTATTTCAGATCAGTTTCAAACTGGACAAGATAACTCTTGCTGATGCCAGTGACCTTGATATTCACTGTAGTTTCGTTGTCATGGATACAAAACATAAAACCATGGCAACAGTTTCTGGCGATAGAATTGTGTGCCCACTACCAAAGAGAACCAATCTTCCATCTTTACCTGTCGGAAGAGGTATGTTATTATTATAATTTTATTCAAATTGAAATTCAGGGCATATTTATTTAGATTTATAAGGCATGAATAATCTGCTTCATTCTGGATTGAAATTATTTCAGGTTGAAGACAAGTTAATTTGTTTTGCACATTGTCATAAATAATCATGTTATTTAGAATATTCAAAACTGCAAATTTTTTTTTGTTTTTTTGTTTTGTTTAGCTCACGTGTCACAAAGTGACAGGGTGAGCTTTTGTGATCGCTTTTCGTCCGGCGTCCGTCCGTCCGTCTGTCGTCCGTTTGTAAACTTTTACTTTAAATGACATCTCCTCATAAACCACTAAGCCAATTTCATCCAAACTTCACAGGAATGTTCCTTTGGTGGTCACCTTTAAAAATTGTGCAAAGAATTTAATTCCATGCAGAACTCTTGTTGCCATGGCAACCGAAAGAAAAAACTTTAAATATCTTCTTTTAAAAAACCATAAGAGCTAGAGCTTAGATATTTGGCATGAGACATCTTCTAGTGAGTGTCTACCAAGGTTGTTCAAATAAAAGCCCTGGGGTCAAAATTGGCCCCGCCCCAGGAGGTCATTGATTTTCCCTATATGCATATAGTAAAAACTTAAAAAATCTTCTTTTAAAGAACCCAAAGAGCTAGAGCTAAGATATTTAGCATGAAACATGTTCTAATGGGTGTCTACCAAGTTTGTTCAAATAAAAGCCCTGGGGTCAAAATTGGCCCCGCCCCGGGGGTCATTGATTTTCCCTATATGCATATAGTAAAAACTTAAAAAATCTTCTTTTAAAGAACTCAAAGAGCTATGGCTAAGATATTGAGCATCAAACATGTTCTAATAGGTGTCTACCAAGTTTGTTCAAATAAAAGCCCTGGGGTCAAATTGGCCCCGCCCCAGGGGGTCATTGATTTTCCCTATATGCATATAGTAAAAACTTAAAAAATCTTCTTTTAAAGAACCCAAAGAGTTAGAGCTAAGATATTTAGCATGAAACATGTTCTAATAAGTGTCTACCAAGATTGTTCAAATAAAAGCCCTGGGGTCAAAATTGGCCCTGCCCCGGGGGGTCATTGATTTTCCCTATATGCATATAGTAAAAACTTAAAAAATCTTCTTTTAAAGAACTCAAAGAGCTATGGCTAAGATATTTAGCATCAAACATGTTCTAATAGGTGTCTACCAAGTTTTTCAAATAAAAGCCCTGGGGTCAAAATTGGCACCGCCCCGGGGGTCATTGATTTTCCTTATATGTGTAAAGCAAAAACTTAAAAAATCTTCTTTGAAAAAAAACCAAATAGCTAGAGTTAAGATATTAAGCATGAAACATCTTTTAGTGAGTGTCTACAAAGTTTGTTTAAATAAAAGCCCTGGGGTCAAAACCGGCCCCAGGGGTGTCATTGTTTTTAACTATATGTGTATAGTAAAAACTTTAAAAAAATCTTCTTTTAAAAAGCCCAATGAGCTAGAGCTTAGATGTTTAGCATGAAACATCTTCTTATGGGTGTCTACCAAGTTTGTGCAAATAAAAGCCCTTGGGTTAAAATTGGCCCTGCAACGTTGGGGGGTGGGGGGCCTATATACAGGTGAGCGACCTCAGGGCCATCATGGCCCTCTTTGTGTATATATATATATATATATATATATATATATATATATATATATATATATATATATATATATATATATAATATATATATATATATATAAATTTGCAAAATGAGTCAGAACATGAAACTCATGTCTGAGAAAGTCACGTAAGTTTGCATATAGCTGGCAGAAGATAAATGATTTTACCAAAATACTAGTTTGTGACTGAAATTATGAGTGGAAAAATGTTTCCTGGTACCAGTAATAGCTGGAAAATGTCCTTAATAGTGTTAGTGTCTACCCCTTTGTTTGACTGGAAATCTGACATGCCAAAAAAATATTTAGAGATTATTTTTGCTCTCATATTAGAGATAATTTTAATTTTTGCCCTCGTATTTTTTGCCCTCATAATTTTTATCAATGATTATTGCCACTTATATTTGCCCTATTTATTTAGAGATAATTTTAAATTTTGCCCTCATAATTTTTATCAATAATTATTGCCCACTCATATATGCCCGCATAATTGGAGATTATTTTTTGCCCTCATATTAAGAGACTATTTTTTTTTTTTTTCCCCCCCCTCATATTTAGAGATTATTTTCTAATTTCAGTGCGTCTTGGAGGAGGTAACTATCCTGATATTGTAGCACAGAGCTTTATTTCTTTACCTCGTTTCATTTCTCTTTCTTCACTAGGTTTATGGGTTCCTCCAGTCTTCTTTTCGATGTTTATTTGCATTTTGTCTCCTCAGCACGAGGCTATTGAATCTGCTTCTTATTGATATATATAATGTAGAAATAGCCTCATGTTGATTGAGCGATTTATGTTAGTTTTAATGCTCATATTTTCAAACATGCAAAAAACATTTTATATCCTTTCTTGCAAAATTAAAAGTGGATTCAGCAATAAATTGATGATATGTACTTTAGACTGATTAAGATCGTTATTGGATAGCATTTTCTCCACATTCATGATTAAAGTAATTACGTTTTTTACGATTTACATGAATTGATCAGGATTTATAGGAACTGATCACGAAAATGGGAAAATTATACAGTCAGAGATGTGAATTGTACTCGTGAAAATATGAAAATTATGCTTGCTTTCTAGTATAATTGTTCCCTATGACAATTTTCCTCTTCTAAATTTTCTAGAACTTTTTTCTCTTTAACTATCTATAAGTTTTTTTTGTTTGTTTATAACTTTGTTTGTTATTTGATTAACACAAGTTCTAAATGTTGTTTATGAAAAGTTTGTCTGTTTCAAAATTATTTTTTTATATTTTTTTTTTTTTGTTGTCATAAGGAGCAGCAATGTTACTTCTTTGTAGAAATATCAACATAAAGCTGACATATATAAAACAGTGACATCTTTATAGACTTCAATTCCTCAAATAAAAAGTTTTGTTGATTTAAAATTACTTACCAATTACAACTTTGTTTTGAACGAGTAAGCTTGCATATTTAATGTTCCTAATTTAACCTCTTCTATTAAAGTACCTGAACTTATGCAGAGCATTTTTTTTTCATTTAAAAACCTTGAAAGGAACCAACAGTTTTGTTTTGCCTTAAATTCCAATTTTAATTAATTCCTTTATGACTTGTTCAGAAGGGGCGAGAGAATACCATTGCTAGTTTGATCAAAGATTTAGCAGTCTTGTGACACCATATGATTTAAAGAATAAAGAGCACAACTGACACCTGTTTTTATGTCAGCTTTATTAGGATATATCTGGTTTAAAATTGTTCATATATACATGGTCTGCTTTTAATTATCAAATATTTTTGGTCACTGCTAAGCTTACAATGTAATTTTATGAAAGGAAAGGTGCAATTGATATTATCCAGAACTCAGCAATTGTGGATTTTTTCCAAACTAATCCCTCACACATACAAACAAACAAACTTTTACTGTTATAGCTACACTTAGCACAAATGTTCACAATAGATTAGTTGACCTGTTGTGCATATAGCTTTGTAACTGTAAAAGTTTGTTTTAACCCCTTTGTCAGATGTAATCATGTGAAAACTTTTTTCTGTTAACATTATACATATAAACACTATTAAATGATTATATTCTGTCAGTAATTGAGATTTCAATAGTGACCTTTTACTTTGAATTTGTTGTTAAAATAATTTAAGACCATGAATATACATGTACATAATTATAGTATTGTTATAAAAAGCTAGTTTGACACATTCATTTCCTAACTAAACCAATAATAACATATCTATTGTTTGGTTTTATTAACCTGTCAATTACATACTGATTACACGGTCGATGCACACAGTATATTAATCTTCGGTAGATATTCGGTAAGTTCCGTGAGATGTACGCTGTACTTAATTTGTATTTTCTGTAAACTAAGTGTACTCAGCGTTATAGCGCAATAGGGTAAATCACGAGTTTATTATCTAAGTGCCACACATGCTTTATGTTCGAGGCCGAGTTGGTCCATGTTTTTTTTCTTATTAATACATTATTGAATCTATATATGATTATTTTATGTTGTTCGTTTTTAGCTCGACTTTTCTATGAAAAGGGGAGCTATCCTACTCGCCCCGGCGTCGGCGTCGGCGTCACACCTTGGTTAAGTTTTTCGTACCACCCCACTTTATTTCAGAAGTATTACAAGTATGGCTTTGAAACTTACCATACTTGTTCACCATCATAACCTCCATCTACAGACAAGAGTACATAACTCTGTCAAGGTTTTTGACAGAATTATGGCCCTTTTTTGACTTAGAAAGTGTATTGAGCTTGGTTAAGTTTTTTGTACCACCTCACTTTATTTCAAAACCATTGGAGGTATTGCTTTGAAACTGACCATACTTGTTTACCATCACGACCTTCATCAACAGACAAGAGGACATAACTCTGTCAAGGTTTTTGACAGAATTATGCCACTTTTTGACTTAGAAAATACATTGAATATGGGTAAAATCCACTTATTGCCTTAACCCTTTGAGATATTGCTTTGAAACTTTTAATGCTATTTCACATCATTACCCCCATCTGTACGCAAGAGAAGGTAACTCTGTCAAGGATTTGTTTTAAAAATTAAGGCCTTTTATCGACTTAGAATCTTGGTTAAGTTTTTAGTACCAGTCCACTTTTTGACTGAACTGTTTGAGATATTAATTTGAAAGTTGGAATACTTGTTTACAATCATGATTCCCAAAACATGTCCAGGAGAAGGTAATTCTGTCAAAGATTTTATTTGAATTATGGCCCTTAACTGTCAATGTTTTGTATTATAGGCAAGCACTAAAAAACTTAAAAAATCTAAAAAAATTCATTCCTATCCACTTGTTCACTTTACCATAAATTATGTCATATAAACATTGCTGTAAGGGTATCACACAATTCAGTAAAATAATTCTTCACTAAATATCTTAATGCTCATGGCCATTGTTCACTTTAAAAATACAGAGATTCTTGTATTGCCTTTTACTGCAAAAACTTTTTTTATTGGCAAGCAATAAAAAAGTCGAGCGCGCTGTCTTACGGACAGCTCTTGTTTATTATGTTTTACTTAATTTTGTTATGTATATACTCTTTTTAAATAACATGTTTTTTTACGAATTCATGTTTAAAATTAAAACGGATTAAAATCAATAAATGTCTTTTCAATGCCGTAAAACACACTACAAATCTCTTTCAATAAGATATACTGCAAAAATAAAGAAAGAATACTAAAACAATGGCAACAGTGAGGATCGAACCACAGACCTCTCAATTATCAGGCATTCTCTTTACCGACTGTCCTATTGTGAATTAACAAAAACCTTCACATTAAGCTGGCGTGACTTTCAATACATGACTAATATACTCCACATTAATTCTCGTAAACTACACGGACCAAACCGAAGTCGGATCGAATATTTAAATGAGTCCTATAATGTATTCATAATTGACAGGTCAATAAAATCAGACTATACATATTAATTGAATATAGAAAACAATAAGTACATATACTTGTCAAGTTTTTAGGTCCTATGTTTTGCATTTACTTTTCAGATACTTGATTAGAATGTTTTGTCGTGGTAATATTCAGGTTAAGCATAGATATTGCTCATCTTTGGTAAAAAAAGTAGGTCAGTAGGTCAAATAAAAGGGAAAAAAGGATAGGGTCAAGGTTAGGGGTTTCGGGTTGCTAGTATATAGGGGTTAGGGGGTTCAGGTTTATAGGGTCAATGTCAGAGTTTTGTTAAGGTCAGGGGTTTCAGGTTAATAAGGTCAAGGTAATAAGTTTTAAATTGATAGAGTCAAGATTAAGGGTTTCAGATTGATAGGGTCAAGGTTAGAGGTTTTAGATTGATAGGGTCAAGGTAAGGGCTTTCAGGTTGATAGGGCCATGGTCAGGGTGTTCAGGTTGATAGGGTAAAGGTAGGGGGTTTCAGCTTGCTATTGACAATGTCAGGGGTTTAGGTTTGACATGGTTAAGGTCAGGGGTTTCAGGTTTATAGGGTCAAGGTCACTGAGGATAAAAAATTATTTTCTTACTTTTTCTTCTGATGAAATCATATTGTTAGCTTTGTGAAAGCAGCAGGTAGGAAAGTTCATTTGTGTTACCAATATTCTGCTAAAGTATGAGCTTTCCCATAATGGTTATATAAACTGTATCTCGTATTTCATAAAATATTCTGTAGCGTGTATACTGTAAATAATTAAAACAAAGTGTAATAGATGGTTGTCTGTGGAATTTATGAGGGAAGCTCATAATTGGTTATTGATGTAGATTTTATCATCTGTATTTTATATTTTATTATCAATGATCAAGTATTGTTATGTAAGTTGCCTAGCTTCTCTGTTTATAGTATATGGTTAGTCGGTATTCTTGATTTTTGTTGGGAGTCTTAATTGTCATTTATGATTTTCTGCTCTCTTTTTTTCCTATTTTATTTTTTTGTTGCCGTTTTTTTTTTGTTGCCATTTTTTTGTGTGTTTTTTTCCGGTCATTTTAAGGCTCAAATTGTGAGGATTATTTTGATGAAAAGTTTTGTAAAGTCAATACAAGATTCATATTAAATTGATCTGCTGTAAACTGTTTTAGAATTTGTTAAGAACAGCTCTGACTGACAAGTCTAAGTTTATTTCTGCATTGTCTTGAAATTCTTTTAAGTGATGCATATAGCAGTAATTAATTGCTTACCTCCCTTTAAATTCTGAAAAGCCTGTACCCTCAGTATAGAGTCAAGCAAGCCTGTGAATCAGGCATTCTACTTCTGGGTACACAGTCATAGTATTTAGATATTGAAATGCATTGAACTTATTCCATATATAAAGCAGCTCAAGGGGTGTCATGGATATAAAAAATATGTTAACGGTTTAAACTGTGACATAATAACTTTGTTAAATGTTATACCGACCATAGTAATAAAATCCTTAGATTTTCAACATTAACTTTGTTATTTATTACAAGATATGACATTTTTTTTGTATTATGCTAAAATGATAACAATACATATATCTAAATAAGGAGTAACTATTTCCTGTTAGGGCCATACCATGCCAAAAAAGTACATTGTTGAGTACAACTAAAAACAAATAAATTGTCTCATCTTGTTATATTAAAATTAAGGTTATATTTAGAATCATTTGCCTCTTTGTCATATGCTTACCTTTGTTAGCGGTTATTGAATATTCTAACTTTTTTTTGTTTTGTTTTATTTCCATACCCATTTTAATTGATAAACGTGAAACCCCTTAGATCAAGTCAGTTAAGCAAGGTTAGGGTTAGAAAACATTTTTAATTATCACTAGTAGACTAAAGTTACTTAATGATTCTATTTGCATGAAAATATATTGTGTATTTAATTTCATTGTGTACATATAATTTGAAAAAAAAAATACACCATAAAACATGTTTATCATTATTGTTTAAACATTTCATTTTTATAAGTGACTATGTTTAATATTTCTATAGATCATGGGGTATTGGAGGTGGAGTTTCAAGTGGAGGGAAAGACGGTCGTGAAACGAGATCTATCCTTGTATAACTGTCAATTAAATCAGAAGTAAGAGTTACTATTTGTCACAATAATTAGATTATATTATCAAAATATGTCTTATAGATCAAGTCCAGAATTTTAATTTTCGAAAAAAGAAAACGGTTCTTTTTTATTCCAACTATTATAGCACATTAAGATGTGAGAAATACAGGCTGACATTACATATAATAATTGCTTATTCTAGGTGAAGTGCTTTGACGCTAACCACATTAAATATCAAAAATGAACTTTTATCCATGTTTCAATGTAGTCATAACTATTCATTATTTTAAAGGAGGTTTTATAATATGTATTGACTGAAAAGTGAGACAATGCAGACCATGATTAGATAGCAAAGATTGATCTTTGTCTGCACTGGTCTAAAAGGTAGATTCAGCTACGGTCAGCAATCTAAGATGTGAACATAACAATTATTAATAGAATAATTAACCATATTTTGGTTACAGTTGTACCGGCTGTACAGATAGTTCATTTGGATGTAAATGGTGTCATTTTCGGGGAATGTGTGTCGATGCTGCCGCTGGTGACTGTATAAATCAGGTAAGAGAAACAACAAATTAACTGAGGTAGAAGTAGGATGCCATAACAAAAATGACATTGATTTTGTTTTATCAATTAAGGAATTTGTACAATATTTAATTTTTATGCCCCCACAATGTGGAAGCATATAGCGTTGCACTTGTCTGTCTGTACGTCCCGAAATCTTGTGAACGCAACTCCTCTTAAACCAGATGGCAGATTTTGCTTAAACTTACAGGGATGAACAACCTTAATGTGAAGATGGGAGTAAAGGAAGGAATTTTCGCTGCAACCAAATTTAACAGAATTATGGCCCTTTGTTGATTTTTTCACTATATACTTTGTAGAAATTTTGTGAACGCAACTCCTCTGAAACCGGATGGCAGATTTTGCTTAAACTTACAGGGATGAACAACCTTAATGTGTAGATGGTAGTAAAGGAAGGAATTTTCGCTGCGACCAAATTTAACAGAATTATTGCCCTTTATTGATTTTTTCACTATATACTATGTAGAAATTTTGTGAACGCAACTCCTCTTAAACCAGATGGCAGATTTTGCTTAAACGTCAGCAGGCGGGTGGGAGGGCAATCGTCAACTTTTGGTTTCCGCTCAATAACTTGAGTTTGCTTTGGCCTATTGACACCAAACTTGGTGTGTAGGTAGCTTATATCAAGAGGCAGCTTGGGATTGCTACCTAGGTGTCTGGGATCAAGGTCAAGGTCACTTACTAAAAATAGAAATTCAGTTTCCGCTCAATAACTTGAGTTTGCTGTGGCCTATTGACACCAAACTTGATGTATGGGTAGGTTATATCAAGAGGCAGCTTGGGATTGCTACCCAGGTGTCTGTGATCAAGGTCACTGTTACTAAAAATTGAAATTCAGTTTCTGCTCAATAACTTTAGTTTGCTTTGGCCTATTGACACCAAACTTGGTGTATGGGTAGGTTATATCAAGAGACAGTTTGGGATTGCTACCCAGGTGTCTGTGATCAAGGTCACTGTTACTAAAAGAGAAATTCAGTTTCTGCTCAATAACTTTAGTTTGCTTTGGCTTATTGACACCAAACTTTGTAAGTAACTTATATTAAGAGGTAGCTTGGGATTGCTACCAAGGTATCTGTGATCAAGGTCACTGTTACTAAAAATAGAAATTCAGTTTCTGCTCAATAACTTGAGTTTTGCTTTGGCCTATTGACACCAAACTTGATGTGTAGGTAGCTTATATCAAGAGGCAGTTTGGGATTGCTACCTAGGTGTCTGTGATCAAGGTCAAGGTCACTGTTACTAAAAATAGAAATTCAGTTTTCGTTCAATAACTTGAGTTTGCTTTGGCCTATTGACACCAAACTTGGTATGTAGGCAGCTTATATCAGGAGGCAGTGTGGTATTGCTACCTAGGTGTCTGTGATCAAGGTCACTGTTACTAAAAGAGAAATTCAGTTTCAGCTCAATAACTTTAGTTTGCTTTAGCCTATTGACACCAAACTTGGTGTATGGGTAGGTTATATCAAGAGGCAGCTTGGGATTGCTACCCAGGTGTCAGTGGTCAAAGTCAAGGTCATTGATACTAAAAATAGATATTCAGTTTCTGCTCAATAATTTGAGTTTGCTTTGGCCTATTGACACCAAACTTGATGAATGGGTAGCTTATATCAAGAGGCAGCTTTGGATTGCTACCCAGGTGTTTGTGATCAAGGTTATGTATTCAGTTTTCACGTAATAACTAGAGTTTGCTTTGACCTTTTGATACCAAACTTGTTGTGTGGCAGCTTTGGATTGCCACTTAGATATCTGGGAGCAAGGTCAAGGTCATTTGCTTACAATAGAATTTTCAGCTTCTACTCAATAACTTCAGTGCACTTTGACCTATCCATTGCTGTCACATCAAAACTTGGTTGTTGAAAACCTGGTTTTCGTGGCATTGCGGCGCTTCTTGTTTAAATGTATATCACAATGAAACTTTAAAAGTTTGTCAGTCAGCAGTTTAGTGGTTGGTTAGGTAACAGAGGTATCTGACAAAGTTCTTCTGACAATTGGCAAAGAAACGCAGTTTTGGTTTAAGCAGTGTATCAGTACTTCAGGCAACTGGCATTTGGTTAAAGCATTGTAATGGTTCTTTTCCAGTTCAGTTATTTTTCAGGCTCAAGTGTGATTGAATGTAGTAAATTATTTTTAAAGAGGACAAAGTTGTTTAGATTGGTTGTTGACATAGAATATTTGCCACTTACCACTGTTTGTTGAATAAACTAATGTACCTTTACCAATGGGTAGTTTGACAAATTGTCATATGACCATCAGTATCTTGGTGTGCCTCATCACAATGTTATATTTCACATTACAGACAGTTCCAGCTATAACGTCATCCAGTAAATGTCCTAGATTAGAGACGACAGCTGGCGATACAGATGTTGTGGTGCATTCTGGGCAATATAAGAAAATTGCTGTACGAGTCACAGATTTATTGGTAAGATTGGAAAATTAACATCAGTCACTTATTTAGTTTAGTCTCTAATTACTTTATCTTACATTTTTATAACCCGCTAAAAATCTATATCATAACAAGTGACCATTTTCCAAATACCAGAACTTCATGATAAGAACATTTTAATGTAGTTGTATCAAATAAAACAGAGGGCATGGGGATTAATGTTTGTAACAAGCTTTTTAACAAATTCAAACTGACAAATGAAGAGATTTTGTTTATTTAATTGTGTGAGAGAATTTCAACCATTTTTTTATCTTTGAAATTTTTATTTTATCTTAAAAATTTACACTATTAGCAGGTTGGCTAATTAATTTCATAAACATCAGCAGGGGGAATAATTACATAAGTCCAGCAAGGGAGATAATTAATTTGATATAAGTGGTAGCGGAGATAAATGATTACATAAAGTCATTACAGGGAGATAATTACATATAATCTGCAGGGGAGATAAATCATTACATCAATTTAAGTGTGGAGATAATTGCTCTCTCGATTTTTACTTTCAGCCAGACCAGCTAACAAACATTTTGTGCTTGTTCTCATATGAAGGAGACGTTAAGTTTACACCAGGCAGTATAACAGCATCCAAGTTGATCTGTGAACCACTCATGTTTGAATATAAGGATGCAAATTTACCGTTAGTAACTGCAGTGTTTACTGTAACCGCTGGCAACAATAGTCTTCCATTAGATAATCCACAGAATATCAAACGTAGGTTTTTACTAAATTTTTCTGGTTTTTATTTAAGACACTTCAAAAAAGTCTCTTATGATACATAAGAATTTTTTCCACCTTTATAAAGAAATTTTGTAAGGTTCATTGTTTGAAAGACTTCTATGTCCTAGGTGGGATTTTAAAACAAATATGCTTAAGCATAAGCTCAGAATGATTCTGAGACAGCAATTGAACTGCTGTACCAATTAAGGTCCATTTTAGTTATTATAATGTAAATTTTTCATTTTACAATTCAACAAGCATGCATAAATTATTATAATTACTTTATATTAGTGAGAATATATAAATGTGGTCCCATGGTAACCAACTGTGGACAGTGTTTGACAATGGACCCGGAGTACGAGTGTGGATGGTGTACAGCTGGAATAGCACAGTGTTCCCTCAAGTCTGACTGTCCGTCTACAGACTGGTTAGGTAGAAGTGCAACCTGTCCAAATCCACAGATTCTCAGGGTTAGTTTATATTAAGGATATGTCACAAAATACACAAAATATTGTTGAAACTTCTGCTATTCTACTCGGGTGCCTGTTTGTGCCTGAAATAATGCATAATGCACAGAAGAGCACCTTCAGTAAAGGTGGAAAGTCGCCATATGACCTATACTGTGTTGGTGCGACATAAAACCAAATAAAAAAAAATGAATAAATAAAACATGACTTTACACAAACAAGTGTTGCAGAAGTTACTAGATTAGAATATGGTTAGTTATGCATAGTCTAGTTATGTATTATATTTCTTGCCAAAGTATGTGAATTTATGCATTATGTCAAAATTTTTATTGTACTTTTTATCGAAGCTCATTTTGAATTATGGTGAAAAAGTTGTACTATTTGTTGAGCTTTTTCATCACATTCTGAATAATGATGACAGTGAACAATGGGCTTTTTTGTCTTTCCTGTTTTGGTGCCATATGACTTATACTGTGTAGGTGTGCTGTAAAAACCAAACAAACAAATAAATGTTTATTGAATGTTATCAAAACAAAATATAATTGATGATAAACCTTATTTTTGATACAATATCGGTCAAAAACTTCTGACTTCAGTCAGAAAAAAACCCTGACTTGCCATGAATGGTGATGCTGTTAAGTATATCATATGAAGTTTCAACACTGACCTAAAAAATTTATTCAACATATTTTAGATTTTGAAGGGTTAAAATGTCACAAAATGTTTGAGACAGTATACAGAATTTTTGGCATTTTGTTTTTCAGTTTAGTCCAATGGCGGGGCCTATTCAAGGACGAACCAATATCTCTGTCACTGGGCTGAACCTGGGAAAGAAATACATGGACCTTGAAGTAACTGTAGCTGGTGTTGAATGTGTGGTACAACCTTATGAATATGAGTCATCTCAGGGGTATATATAATACAAATGAGCCGCATCACGACAAAACCAACATAATGGGTTTGCGACCAGCATGGATCCAGACCAGCCTGCGCATCCGCGCAGTCTGATCAGGACCCATGCTGTTCGCTTACCAATCCTATAACAAGTAGAGAAACTGATAGCGAACAGCATGGATCCTGATCAGACTGCGCTGATGCGCAGGCTGGTCTGGATCCATGCTGGTCGCAAACCCATTATGTTGGTTTTGTCATGACTAGGCTCAAATTGTTTTTAGCATTCTCCCTGTAATACCCATTTACATATAAGAACTAATGTTAAAGTATATTCCATAGTTGGCTGGTTCAAGACATTGTTTTTAAATTGCTTGCCAGTCTTTTCTTGTCAAATAATGATGTTTTATAATAAATTAGCTGTTAAAAAATGTTGCAGAAAAGATTTGGTATGCTCAAAATGTGAAAAGAGCACTCTTAGGTAAAAAATTCTGAGACTTCATAATGCTTCCTGTGATGCCACAAGTAGAGTATGCTGGGCTTATTAAAGGAACTCCACTGAGGTCTATAAGCCTAAAACATAATATTTAAAAATCTAGATCAGGTTGGGCACTTATAATGGAAATTTTTTTAAAAGAATTAAATGTTAAATGTCTAGCACAATTTTGTGCACAATTTGAGTTAAAAGCATGAAATGCTTATCAGTTTTAGGTCATTTTACACAGTTGAATTGTGACAAATCTTGAAAAGCGGAGTGAGTAAATGATTTGCAATTTTGCTAAAAACCCATATCAAATAATATATATAAAAAAAAGTATTGCCAGTCTTGTCTTGTCAAAAAAAATCTTAGTGCAGTCCCTTTAAGACATAGCACCAGTAAAGCTGGGAAATGATTGTATGACCTGAATGATGCAAGTATAATTTTCAACTGTTTAAAATCTGTTCATCATAATAAAGAATTGTCAATCTATATTCAGGTTCTTATGCCAGACTGTTGGACCTGATACTCCTAAAACAGGAATCATAAAAGTTAAAGTAGCAGGGAAACACACTGCCAGATCTGACAGTAAATTCTTGTTTGTGGTGAGTTGTATTTATAAAGTTAAGGTTTATCTCTAGGCTAAGCAGAGAAGTAATGAAATCAGATTTAAGTCTTATGATTTAAAATGTTGAAATTTTTAAACACACAGAAATTTATAATGGTGACAAATTTACAAATGTCATTGAGCATCTCTTGTTTTAGTTACTGTTAAACTAGACGATCTATTGCAATGCTGATGCTGAAACTTGGTGATAAAATTAGCCTTGTTAGAGAAGTAAAGGCAGATAATTTGTGCCATAAGTGAGAAAGATCCATATAAAAATCTTACCATGCTAAATATCTGGACTTGGCCTTCTTTCAATCTGGACAAAACCATTCATAATTTAATGAAAAAATTATACATAAGTACTGATTGAATAGAGACCATTGCAGACCATGATTAGATGGCATGTCAGTACTGGCTGTTCTTTGTCTGAACTAGTCACATTGGTAAAGTCAGTTGGCATCAGTAAGCTATGGGTTAAATAATGGCAGTTTATTTTTGTAATGGATAAGACCTTTGCATTTCAAAGACTATTTTGACTATTAATGGTCTAAATAATGAGGTTTTACCATATTTGGAACACTATCTTTGCATATTATATGCTTAATGAATTACAACAATGAGTCCTATCAGGTATTTCTGAAGTAACCATTACAATATGAGTCGCTTCACGACAAAACCAACATAGTGCGTTTGCGACCAACGTGGATCCAGACCAGCCTGCGCATCCGCGCAGTCTGATCAGGATCCATGCTGTTCGCTATCAGTTTCTCTACTTATAATAGGGTTGGTAAGCAAACAGCATGGATCCTGATCAGACTGCGCGGATGCGCAGGCTGGTCTGGATCCATGCTGGTGGCAAACACACTGTTGGTTTTATTGTGATGCGGCTCATATATATTTTGTGTTGATGTATAGGATCCGGAGGTAACAGATATAACCCCTAAGAAAGGTCCAGTGTCAGGGGGAACATATATTACAATCGGTGGAGAACACATGGATGCGGGTACCATGACAACCGTTAGTGTTGGAGGAAGTCCATGCAACGTCATAAGGTATGTTACACATATGTTTTTATGCTCCAAATTAAACAGCCTACTCACCAGGGCGTTAGTGTTGGAGGACTGGAAGTCCATGCAAGGTCATAAGGTATATTGTATGTTTTTGTATTTTTGCTCCAAATTACAAAATAACTACTCACAGCTTCAAATTTAAGGTTCCCATGCAAAATCTTGATCATATTTCAACTACTACTGATAATATTTGCTTATGACTACACACACTATTTTTAAAAAATAATAGAGCTCACTATTCAAGGCATGTAACTATGGCATTGATTTTGACAGAATCGTTGCTGTTTGTGAACTTGGAAAATACTTGAAGTATAATGTGCAACATTAATTTCAAAACAACTGAAGGCATTCACTTGAAACTTAAAGTATGTCTTCAGGATCATAATTGAAGGTCACTGTCTAAGGCCCATAACTTTTGGGTGGATTTTTTACTTAATTTTGTAATTATTTCTTTGTTAAAATTTTGCTAACAATCAAAGGTATCCACTTAAAACTCGATACATATTTTCGGGATAAGAATTTGAGTTTACTGTAAAAGGCTTACCATAATTGGTTTGAATTTGGAATTACATATTGACCTTTGTGAACATTGAATTTTTTTGTGGGAAATATTCAAGACTTATAACAATGTCACATGTTTTTTAATGAAATCTTCTTTTATCATTACCCAGACTGTTCTCTAGTTTTGTCTTCAATTACATAACCATTGTAGATATAATTCTAGATTGAGAAAATGTTTCTTCTGTTTTAACCTTTTCCCTTATATAAGCGTGTTTCGACGGCTTTTTGCCCCCCGCCTTTTTTGAGGCCTCAAACAGTGAAAAAATGCCCTATTTAGGCCCCAAACACTGTCTTTTGTTTGAGAAATGTTGTTAAAAAAAGTGACCATTTTTTCGGCGCCGTCCCCCATCCAAATATTACATCAGGGGGTTGCCAGAAGGGGGATGTGCCCCCTTCTGTTTGGGGGGTTTGAAGGGGGGCGGAGTCCCCCTCATCGCCAAGAAAATTTTGGACTTGTGAGAGGCTTAAAATGACCCAGGTTGATCATAAGGTAACGTGTAACCAACGCTGAAAAGCCTTTGACTCTATCTCAATCCCTTGAGAAGTTGCAGCACTTTGAAATAAATTTTGATGGAAAAAATGGAGGCAAAAAAGTGATTTTTGGCAATTTTGAGATGTCCCCTCGTTGCCATGGTAACAGGAAATTTAAGACTGAGCATGTCGTTACAAAGGCAATGGTCCAGTCAACATTTGTGCCAAGTTTGATTAGTATTGAAGCATTTTTCATAGTTTCATAGCAGTTTGAACTTGTAACAGGAGGCTTTTCAGTGAAAATGGCCATTTTTCACAATATGCTCATGGGGGAAAGGGTTAAGCATAATTTTATGGTTCACATATTTTGTCCATACATATATGAGCCGCGTCATGACAAAACCAACATAGTGCTTTTGCGCCCAGCATGGATCCAGACCAGCCTGCGCATCGGCACATTCTGATCAGGATCCATGCTGTTCATTATCAGTTTCTCTACTTGTAATAGAGTTGGTAAGCGAACAGCATGGATCCTGATCAGACTGCGCGGATGCGCAGGCTGGTCTGGATCCATGCTGGCCGCAAATGCACTATGTTGGTTTTGTCCTGACGTGGCTCATATAATTATGAAGTCTGTATTTTTGTTTTAGTTCAAATATTAGTACCCTGGAATGTATGACATCACAGCAATCAGCCAATGAGAACGAAGTAGATGTAGAGATTAATTTTGGCGGGTTGAACAAGCTAGCGATCGAGAAATTTACATATGTGAAAGACCCAGAAATCACAATGATGGAGCCGAAGAAAACTATACTAAGGTAAGTGATATAAATCAAAATTTAAACTGCATAACTGGACTTGAAGAGCAAACATTTTTTGAACTGTCCTGTATGACTACTTAGAACAAGATGAAAAGTTTGCTAGACAACAATATACTGCAAAATCATTATTATAATATTTGTGGGGCACTTGATCTTGTTTTTATTGGATAGGTCAATCCATGAATTTAAGGACCAATGAAATTTCATTTCTTCTGCTGTAAGATTATTTGGCATCACATTATTTACATTTTAACTTTTGGAAAAATATACAGTCCACGATTTTAAGAGCTTAGAAAAATTTTCTTTGTGGCAGCCACGAAATTAAGTTAATTAACTGTAAAACATGGTCACTGAGACTGCATGGATGGGCAGCATCAGAATATTATAAAAAAACACTGGTTAACTGGATTTTCATTAAATAAAAAATAAAAAAATTCTAACAATTTTAATAATATGATATCAATATTATTGACAATTCTTGATAATATATGTTATATAATCAAGAAGAAGAAAAAAATGCCAAGGTAAGTGTGAAATTGAAAAAAAAAATGGAAATTTATATTATTGAATATAGTTGAATACCTGTATTGATTGTGTTATATTATACAAGTTGTATTAATTCTGTTACAGTGGAGGAACTACAATCACAGCCATGGGAAGTCAGATGCAGTTTATACAGAGACCACAGTTCTTCGTGGAACATGGAAATAAACAAATCACTACTGTAAGGTTCTATAGTCATTATCATGATAAATATATTAACACAGCAGATTCTGACCAATGTCGGCTATAATTACGGTCTGCACTGTTTGCTAGTCAGTACATACATGTACCACCCTTGTGGCTGAGGGGTTGCTTTTAAAAGTTGATGTATCAGAATTGCAACCATTGTTTATCCCTGCGTGATCGTAAGAGGCGACTTAACTAGAGCCTATGCATCTCTTAGCTCCAGCTGGTGAGGTGGTTTTGACCCCTGGTGCTTTAAGTTTGTAACACCAGAGGTTAGCCAAATTCATCTTTCTTGTTTTGGGGCCATATGACCTAAATTATGTTTGTGTGCCATAAAACCAAACCAAACAGATCCAAACATACATGAACATCTTCTAGCACCAATATTTGTACAATTTTAAAGTAAAATAATTTTATTTATAATCTGAAGATTTCAATCTGAAATGAGAATTGTTGGATAAATTTATGATATAAACTGAGTTATTTTGAAGGTTTTTGTAGTTGCCAGACTTTTGTTGACATATAATAATGATAATGTAAAGTGCACTTTCTAAAAACAGCTTTTTCTTCTTCTTTTTTTTTTAAGGATTGCCAGCTTATTCCATTAACTGCATGGCTACAGTGTTGGACTCCCAAACTGAACTTTCCCGGAGAAAACATTACCGAGACCAGTCCAAAGGAAGTGCATTATGGGTTTAATCTTGACGGTGTTACGACATATAGGAATCTATCGGCCAATCCACAGTTTGGTCCCCTGCTGTACTATCCAGACCCGATTATTGAGAACTTGCCCGTACCTGCAAATGGCGGGAAAAAATACTCCAAAGATGATCCCCTTGTGATAAAGGTTGGTGGGAATATAATTCATATCAGTATTAATGGTGATTGATTATTGATTTTATTGATCAATGTTAGATATACTTATAATGAAATTTCTATGTCTCACCAGTAGAAATTCTATTTATTATTTGATATAAAGCTATCCGTCTAGCTCTAGGTTGCTTGGCAATTTTACTTGAGCCAGAAATAATATTTTGAGGTGAAGCTAGGGTCTCGCTCATTAATAAATCAGGAATGTGATCATCTTAAAATTTTGTGTGAGTTAAAACCTTCCCATATGACATTGCTGACTTATATTTGTTGTGTTTCCAGGGTAACTTCAGACGTATTAACCCGGTCATATCTGATGTCAGTGTAACAGTTGGTGATGCCCCCTGTTTGAAGCCAACTGCTACAGATGAGGCTATATCATGTTCATCACCTGATCAACCTAATGTTGATAACAATGGAAATGCTTTAGTTGTGGTAAATATTTTTTTCTCTGCAGAAAAATAAAAATGATAAAATTCAAATTTTTACTCAAAAAAAAAAATTTGGTGAATAATCTAGTGTCAGATGTCTTACAATCGACCTTGACCTATATTCAACACCATTTCTGTTTATGTCCCAAAATTGACATAAATGAATATTATGTATCAAACTTGCACTCTAAGAAATGTTAAGGGTTATAACTCATGACCACCAATGAATATTATAATGTGCATTCTTTTTTGTCTTCCCTTTATATTCAGAACAACTGTAAAAGCATTAAACTTCCTGCATTTAAGTTGTGTTGTGTTGAGTTTCAGAAAACTGAAATACATTAATGTATATTTAAAAAGATGTTGTTTTTAAATCTTTTATCATCACTGTGATCTGTATTTATTTAAAGTTACAAATCGGGAATGTCGAGAAGGAAGTTGGATATGTCAAATACTACGATACTGATGACAAGGAAAAACCAATAGCGATCGGAATTATCCTCGGTGTTGTCTTACCAATTATTGCCATTATAACGCTACTCGCCATCTGTGTGATACGTCGCCACCGGAAACACAAACCAAGTGAGAATTATATTCCGGATGTTTGGAAGGAGGAAAAGAAAGAGGGAGAAGAAACCGAGTTAAATCATGTGTCTGTAAAAGCTGATATGAACGGATCTATCCCTGACGACAAAGGTGAGATTGTTAGATAAACTGTTTTAATGGACTAGTCCATATTTATGAGATAGAAATAATACTAACACTGTTACAGGTTTACTTCATTGTGAGAGCTTTAAGTCTGCTGATTTCTGATTAGTTGGAAGTCCTAGGCTAGCTTACGGAACATGGGTGGTTTCACTTAGGTGCCTGTTTGTGCTGGAAGTGATGTACATATTGCCACCCGAGGTATTCCTCCGCCAGTAAAGCTGGAAAGTAGCCATATGACCTAATCTGTGTTGATGTGACCTAAAACCCAACCAAAAAAAGGAAGTCCTAGGTTTTAAAACTTTCTTGTTTTTTGAAAATATGTTAATACCCAGTTGTGAAAGTTGCATTTTGTTTATGGACTTGAAAATGGTATACTCTGTATTTACTATTTCAATTTAACAAATGATTTTTGTTTTCAGACACAGCTCCCTATATAGAAGAATTATTAAGTAAAGTAGAAGATGAACATATTAAACAGGGTATTCAACAGCTTCTAATAGCACGTAGCAAGCTTGATATAGGAGATATACTAGGAAAAGGTTTGTCTATCAATCTATTATTATATTTTTGATGACATTATTTATTATTCATATTCTCAAACAGGTGCCTTCTTTTAAAAAGTATAAAAGGTATTTTTTTGTTGTCAAAATATTTAGCATTATTGTCACACTCCTTTTTCGAAAATCTATTTTACCCCACAAATCTATGCCTGCTTAGCACTGCTTTCATGAAATAGACATGTATTGCATCAAATTCACAGCTGTTCTTGTTGAGTTTATGGACTGAATGGATATGTTCCATTATTTTTCAGGAAATTTTGGAGTTACCTACAAGGCCACCTATAGTGAAACGGATGAAGAGATCCCAAAAGATGTGGTGGTCAAAACATTACAAGGTAATATGTATAGATTTATTTATTATAAGCAGAAGGAGAACTTATTTATTTTTTGGTGTAATTGTCTAATGACTTAATTTACATTTTAACAAACTCTGTTAAATATATATTTTATTTAAGAAATATTAGGTATGGAATAAAATAGGAAAAAAAACAACAGGTTCACAAGTGTCTCCCAGGTTTCTAAACACAATCACAACTAAAAGAATTACACAATCTGACTAAAGTTCTGATCTGTTTAAGTTATTTCTTGCATGTAGATACTCAGTATTGGTTTTCCAGTGGTTAGAATTAGAAACGGCAATGTTTCCTAAATTGCAGAAGCTTGTCAATGATTTCTGTCTGAAAGGTCTTCAGAAGGTGACCTACTATTGGTGCCAGTCAGATCCTGATGCATTAATTAGGAGTTGATTTTAATCAGGTTGAAGAAATACAATACAATTAATATGATACATTACAGGTTCACAATCAGACAGTGAAAGTGTCTCCCAGTTCCTCAACACTGTATCTCAGCTACAAAGATTACAACATCCTGGCATTATGCCAATAACTGGAGCATGTATTACGGTTTCTAGTGATCCAATGGTTATCTTCCCTTTCTCTCAGCATGGTGATCTCAAGTCATATGTACGGGACTCTAATAAGGTAATGTTTTGAACTGTATTTGTGCTGTTAAGTTTTTGAGACACATTTTGTACAGTTAGTTTGAATCAACTTTGCTTGCAATATTTTGTTCCATAAAGAAACAGTTGAGTGGTTTTAAAGTCCATTAAATCTGTTCATGAAGGTATAAGAAGATGTGTACTAAAGGGGTTGTTGGGTTAAGGGTCATATGAGACAATGTACATGTATTTCTTATAATCTTTTGATAGAAGATAAGTGGTGTAAATGCAAATTATGACAATGTTTTTTGTACTGTACCCTTGTATTAAGTGATGATTACTTTAAGGTGTTGGGGATAATTTCAATATTGATTAGAAATAGACCTTATTTTGAGAGTATTGCACAAAACATTGGGTAAGTTGTATATGAACAAAAGAGATACATATGTTTTGTATAACAATGAAAGAATTTATCGTCTTTTTATACCTCTGTAATTAACAGATTTCTGGACATTTCACTTTACTATTACTAATCTACAGTTTATGGGACTAGGGCATTTGTGTTTTAGACAACTGTTTAAACACACCATGGACATGTGTCTTCTATTAAATATTATTGTTAGGTTGGAATAACTGCTTGTTTTTAAGACTTATAACTTTGTACATGTTGTATATTCATATTTGGTATTCATTTCTTCATTCAGGAACTTAAAGTGGCAGACCTACTGGATTTTGGTCACCAGATTGCAGAAGCTATGAATTACCTTAGCAACAAGGCTGTTGTCCATGGCAACCTAGCTTTAAGAAATTGTTTGTAAGTATTTTAATTTTTGTACATGTAGCTTATCACGCCTAAAATATTAGGGGGGTACTTTAGAATTTTCCCTAAACAAGCTTGGAAAAGTTACAATTCGACCTATACAGTGTTGATGCACAGATGTTAGTTAAAATCCAAACAACATAAAAAGGGAAGTTTTTGTTAGAAATTGTTGAACATTTCTCTAAGGGAAAAAATTTAGTTTTATAAATCCTTTTTAAAATGATACCTATTTTATTGTTGTGTAAATATTTCATTTTGGTTACACTGTTTATGTAGTGAAATTTAAATCATCACATAAACCTTTTTATTTTTCTACCCTGTGAAAATGGTAAGCAATGAACTTGAATATATTTTGACATAATTTGCATTCTACAAACATAGCTTAAAAGTGCATTATACTAAAGGTGCGTTTATGAAAAATGTTTATTTCAATGAAAAAATTTATTTAAACGAAAGTGATAAAAATTTTAATCATGTAAGTTCATTACTAGAGTAAACAATGTCTTGTTGAATAAAATAATATCATACTCGCCCGAGGCTCTCAAAATATGATTTTATTCAGCTTGTTCGATAAATTCAGTAATCGTATATCCTATATATATATTCTATATTATTTCAGTCTGAATGAGCAGAAGAAAGTTTTGGTAGGAGAATATGGCCTCTATACCAATCTTTTTACGAAAGATCAATACACGAGGGAAACGGACAAAAACAAGTCTCTAGTCAAATGGGCCGCCCCAGAAGTGTTAGACGGCGAAGATTTTAGTGTCCTAACTTCAAATTCAGACGTGGTAAGTTGTTGTGAAATGAAATAAATCTTTCGTCTATAACTTTATTATTTAGAAGGTCCATTACAATTAATATGCCCAGCATATGAATGTGTCCCCTTAGACTGTTTCTGATTGTACAAATTTATGCCTTTAACTTCTTAAACCTGTTTATAAAATTAGTGAATAGTCATCCTGGCATGTGTTCTCATACATTCTTTTATTTTGAAAGAAATGTTTACCAGTTATATTAGGACATTGAGTCTAATGGTCAATTGTCTCTCACCTCTGATTCAGAAAAGTAGTTTGTGTCACTTGCGGAGATATTGATTATGACTGGTTAGTTATCCAGAAAAGTCGCTTAGGTTGCATGGCGAATTATAACCAAAAAATGTACTTAAATCCAAGATTAAACTTGAAAACCAAACAGTTTGCCATTAATTTATCATTTTCACTTTTATTTTGTAATTTTTAGTGGTCATATGGTGTTGTATTATGGGAACTTTTGACAAGGGGAGTAACTCCGTACCCTGATGTAGATAACTCTGATGTGGCTGCTCATGTTAAGGAAGGAAAGAGATTGAAGAAGCCAAAGGAATGTCCAGAAGATGTGTAAGTATTTCATAAAGTTTCATGAATTTATTTAGCAATCTCTCCATTTACCTTCGAGAAGGTTTGTGACTTTCTGCAGAACTTTTCAGAAATAGGTTAATAAGAAATAGATTAATAAGAACTGTTACTTTTAAATGTTCTTCTTTTACATGATATTCTGGTACGATCTCTAAAATCTTTCATAATACACCATTAATTAACTTGAATCATTTTAGAGCTTTTTATTGTATCGTATGCAAAATCTTACACCTTGTATTGATATTGTAGGTACGGATTAATGCAACGCTGTTGGACGTTGGACGGTAACTCACGGCCGACATTCCAACAGATTTCCGATGAGATTCAGATATTTATGTCGGGTGAAACTGAGGAGCAAAATGTTGGTGAATCAACTCCTTTACAGGACAATAATGTTGTAACTGCTGGTGAAATGGTGTGAAACTATATCTCATCTGAATATAAAGGCGAAAGGAAAAGTTATATGAGCACTAATGGGGATCAAATCCAAGACTTGACCATGTGTGAAAACGTTTAGTGTTATATGTGACCAGACTCATGAAAATTCTGTGTTGAAAATATGAAATTTTGCTCTCTTTACTTTTAACCTCTTTTAGGGGAAAATTCTCATGCTGCAAGCTGCATATATAAACATTGTGACACAGTAATTCTTCTGGTTGGATGATGCTGGATATTTAACAAAAGTATGTAAAGATATCAAAGAAATCAAGGTAGACCATCTATACCATCCTGGCTATTTCAGTCGAGGACCTATAATCTTTCAAGATTTTACCGTATGTGGTGTCAAGATATATTTGAATCTAAGATTCATAATCTTTTACTGTATGAATTCTGTTTTTAAGACTTTATGGCGACATAGTCTCACTTTGTTGATGAGGTAATGAATGTTGCCTTTATATCGCCGTCTGTGTTTAACTGATATGTCTATGTGTGTGTATATATATATAGGTGATATTTATGTAAGGCAGAGGTATTACAATTTCTCAGTAATAAAATTAATTCACAATATATTCCGTTAAAAAATTATCTTTCAAGGTATTTTTAGCCAAAATCATCTTTCCTGTTTCAGCTCCATATGGCCTAAATTGTGTTTGTGCATTGTAAAATGAAACGAAACAAAAAGGTATATTTGTTAATACAATTACTTTTGTAATATTTAGATAAGCTTTTGTTTTAAATTTAAATAATGTTTTGTGTGGTATCTGTGAATTTGAAACAAAATTATATTTCATAGAAAAATGCAATTTGAAAATCAAAAAGGAAAGATATTTGAAGGAAATTTTATGAAGAAACTTCGTTCATATTAAATGATTGTGAATATTGAGAAATTGTAATATCTAAGGCTGTCTAATATGTGTTGTAAAGTTTAGCTTTTGTATGATAATAAGTGCCAAATGAACAAACTGTATAGATTGACTTTGTCTGAGACAAGAGACACACAAGAATGACAAGTGTTTTTTACTGTTTTTGAGACTTAAGTAGATTTTTAATAAACCTTTAGCCTGCTGGCAGCAATTTATCAATCCATGTGACCAGTACGGACCAGAATCAGCTGGCATATCCTTGCCATGTGATAATGGTCTGCACTGTTTACTTTTTAAGTCAGTACATAGTTTGAAATTTTCCATAAAAATGATGAATGGTTTTGTCCAGTTTGAAATTTCAGATATTTAGTATGATAATGGTTAAATCCATTTCGTGCTCTCTAAAAGATCCAATAAACAAGGGGAAAAAACTATGACCTGTAGACCCTTAATGAAGTTTTAACAAGGTTTAGATCATGAGAATGTCCTCGTGGGGATTTTCGATTTGGCATCAGCCATGATAAAATTTCTTTGAAAAAAAATTTTTATAGGGCAAAATTTCAGCACAAGGTCCATAAAAAGTCCGCAATGACAAGAGGCCCATCAAGGAGCCTTTCATAAGAGGACACAATTCAGATAATTTTGATTATGCTATAATCAGATAAAATAGTGGACCTTGAAAAAGTTAAAATAGGACATAACCAATATAGGGAACATGAATAGACCAGTGCATTGAGATTTTCAAAAAGCTCTGAAAAGCAGAAAATTATGCCTAAAATACTAAACTGCGATATGTTTTACCAAACGATAACTTGACTGCTGAATTTTCATGTTTGTGCCTTTAATGTTTAAAAAGGCCTTTTTTTAACATTTTGTAATATTCTTTTATGTATTTTTTTACTGGCTAATTTTACTTGTATTTTTTTATTCTGCTTTATTTTTTTTTGTATTGCCAAATGGTATCAAATTGTTTTTTTGTTGTTTTTTTTTAATTGCATCAACGTTGCAATATATGTCCGTGTTTTAAGTAAAACAACATACTTATGATGCATGTAACTGGTGGGCTGTTACATTAACTTAAAAAATGTATGTTACCTACAGTTTGTCCAAATGATATTATTTTTTGGTGCTATGTTTTTATTTCTCGATATATTGCATTTCTCATTATTATTTTGTTGCATTTTTTGTAAGACAAATGTTGTCCTTTATTATTAAAGCAATTTTGGAGAATTTAGTGACTTGAATTGTTTACAATGCAGGACAAAATTAATTACTTTCATGCTGATTTAAAACTGAAAAATCGTATTATTCATAAGGGTTCTAATTTTTGTGGTTTTCATTTAAAGGTCAATCCAAGCATGTGTTTTTGGGCTAAGATTTAATTGACTTGTACCAAAGGTTTTAAGGCCTACTTATTGTGTTTGGGGGCCGTATGACCAGTAAATTGTCAATGTCGCTGTTAAACTCATTGTGGTTTGGTTTGGGATTGTTACAGTCTATGTCATTCAGGGGTAAATTCAATTTTATCTACCTTTTCTCTTAGTAAAATAATGTTTGTTACGTTTGGCAAAGTGGTGACAGGGATTATCCATGGGAATGAAAATCACAATGACGAATATTTTTTTTATTTTCTTGATTTCAGAAAATTTCATATTTACTTTGTTTCCTTATTGTTTACACTTTATTCATTAAGCAAAGATAATTATTATTTTCAGAATTTCCATCTGCATCCGCTATTCTGTCCTGCCGTTTAAAATATTTTAAGAAAATAAGTCACTTAATTCTCTCTTTTAATTAGGTCAGTGCCGTGTTTCGTAGCAGAAGGCAGCAATTGTTTTTGTTATTTCCACTGTGCTTGTTACATTAAAAATATCTACAGTTTGAAAGTTATGAAGTACAGAGAGAAAGAAAGGTGTGTTTTATAATTGGTGTATAATTTTTTCTTATGTTTAGAAAATAAAGTTAACTGAACCAGTATTTTAAGAAAATGCTGTCAAGCAAAAACATAAATATTTGAAATTAATTACGGTTTTTAAAACTGCTGTTCTTGTAGTCAAACGTTTTAAATTAAATTAATAAATGCAAGTTAAAGAGTGACATCTTTTCTCTTTATTTATATTGAAAATATTGTTAAAAATTTGTTTATACAATTTTAATTTGATATTAACAGTTTTTATAAATGAGCTGCGTCACGACAAAACCAACATAGTGCGTTTGCGACCAGCATGGATCCGCGCAGTCTGATCAGGATCCATGCTGTTCGCTAAGCAACCCTATTACAAGTAGAGAAACTGATAGCGAACAGCATGGATCCTGATCAGGCTGGTCTTGATTCATGCTGGTCGCAAACACACTATGTTGGTTTTGTCGTTACGCGGCTCAAATGATGCATAATACATGTACTGATACAGTTTTAGCATAAAATGCATGTAGTGTTGTGAATTCATTTAACATAATATTTTGTATTATATAACTTATAAATTTATAAAATTTTGTATACAATGTTTTTACACTTTCTTTTATCAGACTGTTTTTTTATGGTGATCTTTTCTCTCATTTTTTTTTTTTTTTTTTTTTTTATAATTTTTCATGATTATTTTCTAATGTACATTTATTTGGTGCATTAATTAATAACTGAATGTTGGTGAGAGAAAATGAAAAACTTTGACAAAATATGCTTCATCAGAGAGTAAATCTAATCTCAACATAATGTTATGAAATATGACATTTAATATCAAGGTGACATTCATGTTACTAAAGTCGCTTTTCATTGGATAATCATGACATTTATACAGTTTTATATACATGGCTGCTGTTGATTTATGAAGAAATATCACTTTATTCATCTAAAAATGATGCTTGCTGTATTATAAATTCATTATAAATATTTTTGACAGGTTATATAGCCGTATATAAACGGTTGTTTGCAGTACAACCCTCACCTAGCGGCTTGGGTTATATTTACAAACAACCATTTATATAGGGCCATATAATCTGTCAAAAATATTTATAACTAATATTATAATTATACTGAAAAGGATAAATTTTGTCAACACACCTTATCTTAATTTGAAGGTCATACAAATTTTGTTAACACACCTTGAGCAACAATCATGTTAAAGCATATAATGTATAGGGAAGAGAAGAGAATATATGACATTTTGTTTATCAAGATATAATGAATGGATTTCTGTAAATTATAACCCATCAAGTGCTAATTTATCTGCCTTTCATTGTCATTTATCTATTCTATGTGCAGTTTAAACTGACTGTTTTTTACATAATAACTTGCAACTTTTTTTTACATTGTACATGTTGTATTTATATGTGTAATTGAATAAAAGTCTGAGCTTTTTTAAACAAACAATTTCTTTTCATTTATCCAAGGCCTCCTTGTCCCTGTTAGTGCGAAAGATATGTAATTAAAACAAGAGCCAGTTTAAACTGGGTGATGCTCCCAAAATAGGTTTTAGACACATAAAAAAACACCTTGCAGTTATGTCACGAACAAAGTTCAAAGTGCAATAATTCCAATATTAGGCAAGGCAGAGTAACAGTTCTTTTGCACTGCACTTCTACCCAATGAGATCTATCTACCTACACATGTACAAAGTTTTATGTTAATATCTCTTATAGTATTAGAGTTATGTCCCGGACAAAGTTCAAAGTGTGAAAATGAACAAAGGGCAGTAAATCCAAGATTAGGCAAGGCAGAGTTATGGTCCTTTTGCACTGTACTTTTGCCCTCTATCACTGTGTGTAGCTGAAAAAAATTATGTCCAAGGGCTTTCAAGCTCCGGACAAAACAGACGGACCAGGCGGCGACTCTATGCTCTCCTTTTGGGGAGAAAAAAATATCAAAGTAACAACTGTATTCAAGATATAATTTTTAGCCCCTGGGAACATTCTTTGATGAGCCTGGTCAGTACACACACACAGGTTCTTGTGTGACTAGAACAATGCGTAATGGTAGATTTCATTCTGTATCGACTTGTGACTATTTTGGGTAATTATAAAGAACAATGTGGAGAACAAAAGAAGTCACAAGTTTTGTGGCCAGTTGCTCAAAGCTCTGCTAAATTAAAACGTCTGTTAATTCACTTACCCACAGTTAAATTTAAACATTGCATTAAATTCTGTTGATCAAAGTTAACAAACATTTAAATGGCTATAACCGTCTGTTAATTTAATCAAATATTGAACCTCGATTAAGATTTAACAAAGACAGCTGACATTATGTTAGTTCCTGTCAGAAGAGATCATTGGCTTACACTTGTATAAAAAGACTGAAATAATATGCCGGTACAGGTTCAGTGACCAAGTAGTTAATTTCATTTTAAATATACTTGAAAATGACCTTATGTATGTTATGCTTTCCTTGTCAAATGTAATATCTTTAAGAATAAGAAAATTGTGGTTTATGTAATGTAGTAGGCATATGGCCAGTAGATGACCCTCTATTTTTGAGGTCAAAGGTCACAGTAAAATCCTCATCAAATGAAAAACTATGGATTGAATAAGCTATGTATGTTAAGGTAACTTCATAAACATTGCCAACTATTATTTTTTTGGTCAATGGAAAAGGTTGCAGTGACTTTGTCTTCAATCCTTGTCAAGGAAAAATAAACCTGAGATTGTTAAACTTGGTAGGGACATTGCCAATAGCCAGAAAATAACCCTATTGATTTTTAGGTCAAGGTCACAGTGAAACTTGGTGTGAATTAACTAGGTTGGAATCAGCTTTAATACTATTGTTATTTTACATTTGATTTTTATGACACGGGTATAAATAAGTAAATCCAGTGTTTTAAATGGCAATGAAGAGGGCACAGAAGTGCCTAATGGACAGGTTTCTAGCTGATATTAAAGATATTAATGAAGGGGACTGTTGTTGCCATATTTCAAACAGGAGTTACTTCCCCTTCACCAATCTAGCTGTTTTTTCCAGGTTAAAGTGATTTAAGGAAGTTACTGTTTCATAACAGTTGTAGTGTATATCTAAACTGTACAGCATTTTTTTAGTATTCATGTACAACTTCAAGCTTGAACTCTGAAAATAGTGTTATATTTTTAGTACACTCAGTTCCTATATCATGGGTTCTATGATACTACGGTATTTACATTTTCTGCGACTGCTAGTAAAAGCAACAGACGACTATGCTTATTATTTTTTAAACTGTCACACTAGATCGCATAGCAACTGCCAGTTAATTCGATTTTGTGAATAATGAATATATTTGTGGTATAAAAACTATTTTATAAAATCTTCATATTTGACTACTATTTCCCTTAAATAAATTTACATAGTTAATCGAAATATGTTATAATCCCATATACTGACATATCGTCTGTTCATATTTTTTGCATTTTACAGCAAGTTAGCTTTTGGAAGATTTTCACAACTTACTTTGGAGACTATGATGCATCTATCCTTCCATAGTTGCATTTTCAGGGAATACCATGATACCTAAGTAACCACCCTAGAAATGACAAAAAATGGCAGACAATGGAAATAGTTTTAAAAATGCCATATTTATTGGATCTTTTGAAATAAATCTTTGACAAACAGTTTTGGAAAAAGTTCACTTATTAAACAGAAGAAAAATCTCAATCATATACAATATTTACATTTTTTAAATATTTTGTGATAAAAGTTTAGTATTGTGATATCATAAGACCCCAGGCTACTTAAATAAATGTTCCAACATATTCTATGGACTTGCATTGATTGAAACTAAACTTGCCCGAAACTTATCTCACAAGCAGATCTCGATTCTAATTTAAATTGGCCTTATGCACAACAGAATCATAGTTGCTTAAAGAGACAAAATAGGTCTGGATCATAGCAGTTTTTATTTTTGAAAAAAAAAAATGTTAAAAGGACATAGGTTAAGGTCACAGTGACACTGTACCAAACATGTACACAACTTGTACTACCAGAAGAACTAAGTATTTTTTTAACTTGATTGATCATGTCAAGCATTAGAGTTGTTGCCACTAAAATGACCCAAATAGTGACTTGGTAAGCCAGTGACCTACTTTAATGTATAAGGCAATGATTCAGAAGTGAACCAGCTATGGTTATTGTGGCCCTCTTGTTTTAAATAGGCAGATTCATCATGCATTACAGTTTTGCAACCTGTGAACTACACGGCAGAAGGCTTTCCCATTTGGCATGTTGGTCCACGCCTAAGAGATCAAATTATTGTCATGGGTCAAACTTGGCCTATCCCTTGGTGTCAATTATTTTTCCTTTTATAGAACATTTTTCTCTGTGAGTAATGACCAACAAGGAAGTCCTGATTAAATGTGGTTTCACTTGACATTACGTTCTTTTAAAAATTAACTTCCTTTTAAAAATTAACTTCCTTTTAAAAATTAATTTTCGTTTAAAAATTAATTTCCTTTTAAAAAACACAAAGATAAGAGGAAGATAAATTTTTATTTTACAAAAATAATTTTTTATATGAAAGATGATTGTTTAAAAAATCATTTATCACAAGAACAAACATCAGTACAACTTATAAACAAACTGACAGTTTTAAGTAATCAAATATAGATAGCACTTTTTAAGCATATAAAATTGATCAACCTTTAAGAAAAATAAACAACACAAAATATTATTTATGTCTGACAATGGCACTTAAACACATGATAAATACAGTGTAAAAATATGAAAATGTAAAGATTTGCTCAATTTAAGCCAATGGGATCTATATGCATATTTTTTGGCTTCAGCCGGTTTTCATCTGGATGGATTTATCAAATATCCTGTTACAGAATTATATATCTGGAATGTCCGACACTTCAACACAGACAAACTTTCATCAAAATTGCTGATCCAAAAATAGTTTTGAAATTTCACTAAACGTTTTTGTAAAAATAATAGATTTCCGAAAAAGAATTACATAATCAAAGCTATTTGAAATTATGTACGAGTATTTTTTGTATAAGATATTTCTTTTCAGACAATTGGGAATGATTGCACAGCAATGCTCTCAATACTACACTCGTCCACACCTCGTCGAATACGGAAATACCCGTCCTCGCCCCATCCCTCGCCCCAGCTGTTCTTCACGATCCAATAATCCTGTGGGGTTTCTGGATTGGTCATGTCTGTACCATAACCGACCAATAGCACGGCATGATTTGTGATTTCAAATGGGTTAAATCGGTCAGTCAAGCCTGTGTGATGGTAAACTCCTGATTTATAATGCATGAAATCATTGTAAACTTCAAAAGCAACGGCCATTGGTCCATTCTTCACAAGTTCTATTCTCATCAAAGCTTCATTACACCTGAAAATATAGAGGTATAAATTCTCACATTCATTTTGAAATAAGAGAAAATACAATTAAAAAAAAATAAAATGTTGACTGAGCAGAAAACTTAAAGCCACTTACAGCCAAAACTGTTGTGGAAAATATCAAATATAAATTTGTACAATGTGATACAAGACAAATATGACTTAAAGGTTTGAAAGATTTCATTCCACTCTCTAAGGAATAGTACATTTGTAGTTATAATTAATCTTGCCTGAAATCATTTAGTTTTGGTCTTTTACTACAAGATTTCACTATGTTGTCATATATACCTAAATAAAGGCTTGAATAAATATCTATTACAATACATAGCAATAACTGAATGGATCAAATGACTGCCTCTAACTTACAAAATTGTAGATTTAAATCTTAAATTGGTCAAAGGTATGTTCTTTCATATAACTCCAAAACTGGTTTCTTCAGGTACTCAAAAGAATACATAAAGTCCAGCCACTAAGCTCAATATGGAGAGCATGGGATAAGATATCCAGGGATTGCTGGTTTGATTCTTGGGCTAGGCATAATTTCTCTGTGAAAATTGATCTCCGACATTAAGTCATATTGTCATTTGTCTCTCATTGCTGATTCAGTAATTATATGCTATAAGTAGTCAGTCAATAGCAGAGAAATTGATAATAACTGGTTTGTTTTCCATGAGAGTCAGTTACGTGAATGGACCAACCAAATATGACCAAAACATGAGTTCAAATCCATGCAGAAACCCTAAAATCGATCAGTCATCTAAAAGCATAACTGACTTACTTCATTAAAGAATTTAGAAGAATATACCTTAACTTCGACATTTTATCAATGAAACTGGGCAAGATTAAATAGAGGAAAAGTGTTACATACGCTCCGTAATATCCACCGATGTACTCGTATTTTGTAGAATACATCCTTGGGCAATCTTTCTTGGTAGAGCAAGCGCCATCGCTACCTGTGTATGGGTTACATTCTTCCAATACTAAACCAAAATCTTCAGCATATTTACCACCAATTAAATATGGAAAGCCTCCCTCACAGCCTAAAGTATCAAAAAAAAAAATATTTTTCAATATACCTTTCATACCCTGTAAAACAAAATACAACATATTTATCCCATACTGTGAACACAGTTAATTTGATGGGCATGAAATTTCGAGGTGTTTTTTTTTTTGTTATCAAAAATGACATTTCAAAGGGTATTGAAATTTGTAGATTGCATGCTTTTGCAAAAAATTAAAATGCAAGTTATTTAATAGAAATCATTGTACAGCAGAAAATTTCATTGGATCTAAAATTCCTGGAAAGAAAACCAAGAAAATAAGTGCCCCACAAAATAATGATGACTCTGAAAAAATATTCCATTTTTCTTGCTCAGTATAATTCCTCTTTTACAGAGATACTTTAGTTTTACTAAAGGGTAGAATCTTCCAGTCTTGTACAAAAATTTAATTCCTTATTGTCTGTTATGAAATAACAGATAATATACATGTACTTAAACATTTCACATATTAAATAATGTTGTTTTTTTTTGTTACATATGATTTACTTACCCTGTGAGTATTCACTGCATTCTACAATATCTTGAGGTGAGAACACTGGCTGGGCAGTGTTATTTGACATGACCCTCCATCTGGCCTCATTCATTCCCATTGCACTAAATGCAAAGCAACTTCCACATGATGCTAAAACATAAGATCAAAGATATGATAAAATGTTTTTTTTATAGTTCCTTACATAACAACTTATATGTAACTTCATGCATATTCATTAACTCTTACATAACAACTAAACTTAATTGATTATACAATACAATACAATATCTTTATTGCTTCATAGGCCACCAGCCCAAAACAAAACACAGTTTACAAGTAATTTGTTTACATATGTACAAAACAGTGTAAAAGTATTATGGTAATAGTACTATTATATAAGTATCTTGATAATTATCTTCTTCACAAACTACTTTCAAATGGGTCCTCGATGGCCGAGTGGTTAGATCGTCAACTTCAAACCATTTGCCCCTCATTTAAGCAAACAACTTTCAACAAATCTTTACAGAAAATTATGAGTTCTAAATCAGAGCCAGCAAGACCTTACATTATTGAGAAAAAAACTGTAAAAGTTCAGTATTATGATAAATGAACAAAATCTTATATAGCTTCAGACATCATGAAGAAGCCATTGGATATTTTTTCATTTCCTATATTGGACAAGAGATGGTATACCATTAAGGAAATAAACCAAATCACTAATGTGCTATGAATTCCTATTCCAATGTATTAGTTAATTCTCAGTTAGTATACTTCAAGTTCTTTATATAGATCAGTTATGGATAAGAAGTGGCCATGGACCTGTTTACCGATACCACTTTTAGCTAGAGCTGTCATCAATAGAGTTGAATATTATTTTTTCTGTCAATCAATAATCGATACACATTTGAAAATAATTTTGATTAATTATTAAAATGTCTACAAATTAAGAAAATTCATCCAAAACATATACAAAAGCAGATGGCCACGTCAAACACCAAACTGTTGTTACCTAATGGACATATTTAATAACAGGGATGACGAAAAAGTGGTCAGAAAAAAACATGCACAGGACATTTATAAACAGGACACAACATATTTGTATAAACAGAACATGTATTTTACTAAAATTATAAACAGTTATTAAAGTGAATTATATACAAGAGATAAGGAGTATTTACCGAACAGAAGTATTCCTTACACTAAACTGCCAACATTCCTTTATAAAACCTTGTTGAAAGTGGTGAAATACCTACCTTGGTTTCTGATTGGTGATACAAAGTTTACACCATTCACATTTCTCCAGTCAAATGATTTCGGGAGACCAACTGCAATTCTAGCATGTTCTGGTGATACTGGGGCTGGTTTTGGTATACTAGAAATTAGTAAAAGCAAACAGAAATCTATTATGATATCTTTTGAAATCTAAGAACAAATCATCTGTCCTAAAAATGATAATTCCATGTGGAATTCTCCCAGATATTTTTTTTTTTCAGAAACAAAATTTTTTTTTTTTTTTTTTCTTCTGAAAATTACACAAAAAAGGCTATATGATGGTAAAACTTTTACTTTTTGTTATTTTCATTCCTTCCGTGGGCTCTCCCATTTTTCAGATTTTCATTTCAGTGCAAGAAAACGACTGTATTTAGAAATATAGACTTCAGAAATTCCTTAAATACATTTCAAGTAATTCTCTAGACAAACAGACAGACAAGTGGAAGGATGGACAAGAAGGTGACTATATGCTCTCCGTTTAGGCAGCATAAAAAATTCTGATATTTTAAAGGTTTTTAAACATTTTATAGACAAACAGTATTTACTTACTCAGTAATTCTAGATTTCCTGCCCCCAGCTCTTCTGATCATATCCTCAATTTCCATATTCTCATACTCTGGGTATTTAACTGCAGTCCATGATCTCTGATGACGATTTATATCAGTCACAAAAGTTGTATTTGATCTGTATCTTATACCAGCATATCTAAACAAATAAAATCATAGATTATATGAAAATGACTATATTCAAGTAAGTCACTTGGTTAAAGAAACACTGTTAGGAAAAGGCCTTTAATATTTATCAGTTAGTTTGTTTGTTTAATTGGGTTTTACTTCACACCAACACATTATAGGTCATATGGCAACGTTCCAGCTTAACTGGCGGAGGAAGACCTCAGGTGCCCTTCCGTGCATTATTTCAGACAAGAATGGGCACCTGAATAGAACCACCAACATTCTGTAAGCTAGCTGGATATCTTCCTCACATGAAAGAATCCAGAGTCCCTGTCAGGATTCGAATCCACAGCGGTGAGGGGGCAAGTGCCAGGTTTGAAGTCAACAACCTTAAACAGCCAGTGATGCCCCCTACTATTTCTCACTGTTTCATTTTAAGACAAGAGCATGGATAATAAAACTTTATTCCTAATAATCAAAATTAAAGTTGAATAATTACATAAAAATTAATGCTAGATTTATGACTCTTTGTAAAAAATTTACAAATATGAGTTATGGTTCTTTTACTCTGACCTGCAAATGCAAAATTTTAAACAAGTGTTATGCCCATGACACAAAAGTTTTAACACAAAGTCTGGAAAAATGGAAGCTTAGCAGAGTAGGACAAGAAGCTAAAAGGTTTTAGATTTCTCAGGTAATAGATTTAAACATATTTTGTAAATAAATATTGAGCTAAAATGAGAATGACACAACAAATTGATTAAACTGATTTAATACATAATTAAAATAACAGGTTTTTTCTTCAGTTTGAAAAAAAGAAAAACTTACGAAGTTGTCAATCCAGTTTTTCTCACTTTAACACTTCTTTTCTCCTCCTGTTTCATACCAGCATAGCATGCCCAGTTTCTACCAAGGACGTCATGTGACCATCCTGGTAAGGTTTGATCACACATGTCCTTTACTGTAGACCCAGATTGCTTGTACTTAGAGAATGCAAAGTATTTCCTACCAGCTATAACAACTTCAAATCCCTGGAAACAATATAACATATATTGGATTACCAGTAAAAAAATACAATGTTATGATGTTGTTGTTTTTTGAGTCAAATATATAAAATAACAATAGACTTTTTCTGGTGTCAAGAACATTTTGGGTTTTCCCAGTTAATTAAATTCAGGGGGTACAGACAAACTTTTACAGTTAAAGCTTCGAAAATATGCACAACAGATCGACTTATTTATTGTGAACAATAGTGCACTGTGAAGCTATAGTTTGATTAACTTGTATAAAAAAGCAAAAAACACATTTGCAGGGTTCTGGATTAAAACTCTTTCACATGATCAACATTTAAATCATAACAAATTTAATGATAATGAGATATTTCATCAAATGATGCTGTAATATGGCCCTATAGTAAGTTATTTCATCAAAGCAAAAAACTCATGCCATTGTTTTCAATGAAAAATATCACTTACTTTTGTAAGATTTGTTTGTAATATGGCTGTAAGGTAAGTTATTTCATATCACCTGAACAGCAGAAGTGATGCAATTTACTGTTTTTATCTTGAATGTTAAATATCATAATAACTATCTTTCTTTTTTAAGATAAAACTGGTCAGGAACTAAATGAAAACTAACCACTAACCTGATTATAAATCAATGTCCAGAAACCTTTATTCCCAAATTGGTCAACAGCAAGATCTGGGAAGAATAAAGACACCTCTATCTTGCTTTCAGCTGGATCTGTCAATATTAAAACTTTTTTTACTTTGTAACTCAAAATTATTTTTTTCAACAAACAAGAACATTTAAAAAATGATGATAGTTCAGACATATGCACACACTTCAACAGACTATTGTGGTTCTTTTGCAGAAATTGGTAAAATGTAAAATGTTGTTATGTTTTACGAAAAAATCTACAGATTTAAACTATCTAACACAAAAACTTTAATTGTTGGTTAGGCGTATGACTAAAATATATCAATTCTGACCAATTTTTACACTGGGTGACATGGAAATATGCCATAACCGTGATGTTGAGTAAATGAGTACACATATATACCCTTCACGGTAACCAAAATTTGTAATAAAAATTCATTCCTAAGAATTGGAAGCCTTAAGGATCCTTTCAAAACATAACATATTAATAAATGAAAACTTACTAAAAACAGATGGAAATCCAGTACAGTTAATTGTGTTATCATGGCCCATCTTCCCTATCTGGAACACCCATTTTCCTTTGACGTCCTCATATGTACAGTTTGCTGGGGTATCAGCTAGCACACATACCAGACCACACAGAAATACCAGTAACTGCTTCATCTTTACCTGTCACATGATAAAACCAGTTGACTTTATACATGTACACACTATGTTACCTGTCATTATAAAAACAAGTTTACTTTATACACTATGACTATGTTAACAAAGCTAGCAAAAAAGGTTGATAAGCATAGCATAAGCATTTAAATCTTATATTTATGTTGTTATTGCACAAAAAAAATAGACACATTTTCTAAAAATCATTCAAATACCAAATTTTAAAACAGTAAATGGTGTTAATTAAAATCCAACACCAGTTGTCTTATATTTCTTTTACTTACACTGATTACAGACAAAATCAAAGCACTGAATGTACTGATGGGGAGGCTATGAGAGAATGTTTCAGACTTATAGTTTCTTTTCTTTTTGCTTAAAATATGCTACCAAAATAAAAAGATATGCACATTGCGCTATTTATCCTTACTGTTGTGTTCAACCATTCATATATATGGTTAATGAGGTTGACTATTCATTTTGTTAATATTCCAGAACATTTAATTAAGGTCTACATTCGGACTGTTAATCATGCAAATTTTGAAAAACCTAAACTGTCAATAATAAATGCCATACCAGCAAGTATGACGACTGTTCATTATCAGATAACAATAACATTTTACAACTGACGGTTCCTTATCAAAATATTCTAGGACTGTTCATCATAAATATTTTATGTCATTTTAATATTATTGAATGATAATAACAACTGCAGTGATGCAACATTTTTATTGAACATAAAAATTATACACGTTTAGATGTACCATAATTGAGATCAATAAGATACTGTCTTGTGATGAGTATTAACATTCATGCTCTACGGACAGAAGGTTGTCTTCTTCAGAAGCAAATCTCGAATAAAATCACGTTTCAGAAAATTAATCCCATTTCATTACTGACGGCGTCGGATAATATTAAAGCTAAATATTTCTTGAAAAAATACATCTCTGCAAAGCTTATTCAAAACTGAATCAACCTAAGTGAAAATTGATCAGGAAGTTATATCTTCTTTTTTTACCGCCAACACTCAACACTCAACCAACTTATGGTAGTTAATCGATAGATTCTACGTGTATTTTTAAACCTGACTAGCTTGAAATATATACTGCGGAAAATCTGTTGTTAACAGGGTGTGCGGTTATTACGTAGGGTTTTCCCTGTCGACCATTTCCCGCAAATAGATGAGAACATCGAAGCCGTCAGTGCTATGAATGGTGTTATAAATGGCGTGTTTTGGAAGTTTTTGTTGAAACTTCTCCAAATACCTCCAGAGGCGTGCACGTCGCGGAGAAGGCACACGGAAGGTCATAGTCAAGTCATCATAAGTACCAGAGGTGATTGGTTGACCTGTCGTGACTTACTCTGGAGGTTTGGCGCTAATAGATGCCGTTTTTGTTGTCGTCAGTCAGAAAGTTGATGCCTTGACGGTATTGTCGTCTCCTTTACCACCAAAGAACGAAGAATGGGCTTCCAGGAAGAATCTGCTTGAAAAAGACGTCCCAGATGCTATAATCTCGGACATATGGTTATTCCGGCGCCGAGTATAAATAAACTTAAAACACACACACTTTTGTTGAAAACAAAACAACATCACATTTTCTGTAGTAATTTTTCAAGTGTTGTAAAATGAATAAGAAATTCCTCTTATGCCGCCCATTATTTTTAGAACACAACCATAAAAGTTCTTTTTTTTTATTTTTCAAATAAACATTTATCACTTCAGCGCGAGCAAATATCGGTTTCAAATTAAAGTTTCGTAAGATATGTTAATGACTTCCCGATGCTCGACTGTAAGTAATTTGTATATGTATGCGGTTTTTTTTGTTTTTGTTTTTTTTTGTTTTTGTTTTTTAATTAAAGCTTCTTATTCTTTAATATTTTTTATGTATCTCATAATCTGTATTGAAAATTTGAATTTTATTACAAATGGACTATCAAATTATGATGTATGCCCTAGAATTGAATAAACTTTCTAATTACACAATACGGGGTCATACTGATCTTTGCGTCTTTCTCTGAAATACTTATTTCCTTGTTAAAACATATTTGACCACATATTTCTGTCAATTAACTGTTCACTTTACTTCCGATTTTGTTGTAAGGAAACACATGTTTCTATTTGTGTTTTCTAATCAATTCGAATCTATAATCAGTTTAATGGGATCACCACCGGGTAAACGACTACTAGGTACTTTGGTCATGTTTTTTACCACAAATATTTGAATGTTTCTATTGTGATTAAAATGAGCATAGTTAACTAAACAACTGTTTGTATAAATTCCTGACCTGTCTAATTCTAATTATGAGATTAGTGAATATATAAGACTTTCACTACAAAATATTCCTAAACAAAAGAGCACATGTTTAAATTTATTCCTATACAAATAAAAGATCAGAGTAGGGATCTGTCAATTACCAAAGATACTTTTATGTTAAAAGTTTGATTAATGAATTATGTAAGATGAAAATATAAGTATTGCTTTTTTTATTTTGCTAATGTAAAATGTAATATTGTGCTGGGATTTTGTCGGAGGTCCTTAGGGGTTTTGTAGTTAAATAGTTTTTTTTTCGGCGATAATGGTTAAAGAATAAAATGTTTTTAAACTATATGTTCATCACCATCAGTGAATTTTTAGTTAAATGTATGCAAAATATTTACTAAACAGCTATATGATTTAGCGGTTTATGAGCGTTTTCCGCGTACAGCCTCCTGGGGTGTACAAATAAGTTAGTTTTCCTTAGTTATCACGCAAGCATGATCCATGTCTCTGATGTAAGCGACAGTTTACAATTATTTGTCTTTAAAAAATATTAAGGACTATTAATAGTTTATAACAACAAAAGCACATGCATGATATTGAGAATACGTAGTTGCAACGTTCTAGTTAATGACCCGTCATAAACAGTTTGTCGCTGCGTAGTAATTGGAAAATTGTTATCAAAAATAATAAAGAATATTTGCCACTGAATTAAAGCATTTACTTATAAATTTTCATTTATGCTTTTTGTTAAATTATGGATAAAGATATTATTTTGAAGGGTTTTCATACCAGAACTATTTAATACAGACGTACGTAATATGCCTAAACCTGATTACCGCGGCAGTATGACGTCACGGAGTAGTGATTTAAACAAAAATCAAGAATTTTTCAGAGAATTATTATCTTTACAAATTGCAGATATGAAATTAAAGAATGAAAATATTTTCATATTGTAAATGTCTGTGATGAGTGATGAGTCAGCTTAGAAAAAATCAAAGTACTATTTTTTGACCTGATTACCGTGGCAGTATGACGTCACGGAGTAGTGATTTAAACAAAAATCAAGAATTTTTCAGAGAATTATTATCTTTACAAATTGCAGATATGAAATTAAAGAATGAAAATATTTTCATATTGTAAATGTCTGTGATGAGTGATGAGTCAGCTTAGAAAAAATCAAGGTACTATTTTTTGACCTGATTACCGCGGCAGTAAGATTTGACAGACAGTTATTAACATTGGGTCGGCATAGCCTCCCCAAAAACCCTTTGCCTTTGCAATGATCGGTAAGACAAAATGTTGTGCTTGCAACTGAAAATTGACTTTGATTTAAAGATAATACGGTGCTCATTTCCAATTCCTTGTCCCATTATATTATGTCCCAGACGTATACTGATAATAAAATACCAAATAAACAGACCTTGTTACTTCCTGCACAAGTACAGAAGGAAATTAATGCTTTGTCTATTTTTAAAGTCGAAAATATTAACGATACAGCAGATTTAGAACTTTATACTAGCAGTATTAATCAGTTAATTGGCTCTGCAACCCTTTAATGAGAGCACAACATGACCATCACGTGATACGTATAATCGAGGACATCACAAATCAGCTGACTATGACAGCCACTTTCTGTACAAATTTTTATGTAGTGATGCGTTCATCAGTGTTTACTTCCTCGTCAGAAAAAGAATCTTGCATTTAATGTCATAGCTGGTTGGAAGAATAAGAAAACATGTTTTTTAACAAGCACTAATAGTTAATAACGTGTTCTGTTTAAATTACTGTACTTACATAAAATAAAATTTGTTTACCTACAACATCTGAATAACCTCACTAAATTCCGTACATCGTTATATTCCGGACAAAACTCTATATCCCGTTCTAATTGTACCGGTTTGATGGGTTGTTCAGTTGACCATACGTAGATGTTTGCTTAACCTGAGCTTAATCACATGCTATACGCGAAAAAGATGTTCACCATAACTGGCATTATAAACAAGTTCTCAAGCACAGTGCCAGATAAACTAATAACTGGATCTTAAACATAAAAAGCTGTCAAGAACAACCCATCAAACCTGTACAATTAGAACGCCACCTTGGCATCAACAACGGATATCCAATATGTTAAAATTCTTGGTCACCATACAATACGAGTAGCTTTGCAATTATCCTTAAAACTATACTGGCACCATACTGTTGCCTATCCTTGAGTTCCCTTTTCAAGCAAAACATTTTACCTTTTAATGTTGCTAAAAAAGGGTGATAAACAAAACCTAACTAAATACACGAAAATTCTCTGTCATACACATGTCTACTTTGTAAAACTCTAGCAGCAATGTCACAATGACACCTGACACACTAAAAAAATACCAATGCAAAAAAAAACAATCAAGCAAATCCATCTCCAACGTGAAAAAGATAATAATTTTGTGACCCAACATAATCATAATGCTAGTAAAATGCTAGTAAAATGATCTTCTTATACCAATCAAGAGACAAACAGATCTAATCTGCTTAAATTTAGTAAAGCAATGACATCTTCTGTTAAGACACTGACATATTTTGTTAAGACACATAGCTGAGGCTTAAAAAGCCTAGAAAATGGTCAAAATCCACACTGGCAATTTATGGATTTTAACAAAAAAGATGTGACCATCGCAATAACGATGAATCATAAGTCTCAGAAGCACTAGATAAATATGGCAACAAATTCATCATTCACAGTAATGAAAGAATCACCCTATTCCAAAGGATTATACAGCGTCCAACGTCTCGTAAGACGAGCACAAAAGGTTTACAACAAAGGTATCTTCTCCGCCGAAATATAAAGGTCAACTCGGAACCTCTTAAATCTGCGTATAGGGTCAAATAAAACTTTGGACACAAATCTAAAGAGCGCGCATTTGACTTCTTAACTTCTTTTAAATTAACAATTTACACTTTTAGCTCCAATTAGTTTATAAATGTAATAGTATTTTAACTTTCAAAATAGGAAGAGCAAATATAGTTTTTTATCGATTAATGCATGTACGTATTTCTGTAATTTAAGAACAAATGCAACTGTTATATACATGCGTATGCTGTACATGTAGTATAAGCGTCTTTAAGGTGACAACGGAGTCAATTATCACTGAAAATACCTAAAATGAGATTTTTTGCTAAGAAGATTTATCAACCTTTTCTGAACACATTCGTGATTTAATTTTGGAAGCAGTTAGTCCAAAAAATGTGTTT